TGAGGGACATCTGCGTCGGCTAACGAGGATTCATGTCCTGAGTTGTATCATTCACCTGCGCAAATGTCGTCGATAATTCGGTCGAATAATTCTTCATTAATCTTTCTCTCTCTCTCTCTTCCTCTCTTCTTCGACCATATTTCCCATCTTTTTTCCTTCATTAGCGCTTCTCTTGTAAGCATTAATTCTCAAAAAAGAAGCGCGTAACTCGTAGGGCCGAGTAGTGTAATGCGATGGCAGATAAGGTATATTGTTAGCTACGATTAATATAAGCGAAGTAATGTTCTCCGCTTTTTCATGCAACATTCACAGAATGTCCGTACCACACGGTTACTCTTTACACAAAGAATCGCTCCATTCATCGAGAACAGTCATTAATTAGCCGCGCGAATACAAGCACGTCGACTCCTGATTTAATATTTTATTCGTTTCTTCTCGTGGATACTCTGGCCGGGGAAAAGGATCGACCGCGCGAAAATGCACAGCGTGCATTCATACTTCCGTACCGCCATCCTGCTGGTTCGAGCGATGCAACTTTCACCGGGACACGCCGTCGCGTGGTATCAAATAATCCGCACTTATAAATATTCCGGCGATCTTAGCTTGCCTCCTCCGAGACACGACGACACACAGACGCGGCCACGCTAAAGTAACAATCCGCAGTTGCAGGATTTAAGGCTTCTCTCTCCCCGGAGATGTTCCGCAGCGCGGTCTTCGATAATATCGAGCCGTGGAAGACGTTCAGCGGCCGTAATAACAATAATAATGCATCTCGTCGTAATGCGGAGGAGAGAAGGTAAGAACGCGCTCAAGGTTGGCAGAAAGGGACGGCCGGGTCTCGGCCGATCGCGGATCTCGGCCGCATAAATTTGTTTTAATTGCCAGCGACGTTACATTTTGCTTTAATTATGCCGCATTATCTGGGAGGTAAATTAGGTAGGTCCAGCTCTCGGTCCATCTTTCCCTCCGTCCACCTTACCTGCATCACCCCGCGCCGCCACCCCCGCCGCGACCCTTTCTCCCACCCTTCTCTCTTGCCCTGCGTTCTCTCGACCTCCTCGTCTCAAGTTCGCGGATGAAAAAAAGAGCGCGAGTGTGCCATCCGCTCTCCCTCGCCCTCCTCTCCCTCTCTCTCTACTCTCTGCGCCTCTCACTCACACACGCACACTCTTCTGACTCCCCTCGACTTCTCTATATAGTCCACCTTAGGATAGGATCTCTTTCCACCCGCGAACCTCCTCCGTCACCTCTTCCTTACGGACCGATCGTCGTTTTCAGCAGCCCCTCTCTCCCACCCTCACCTCCGCCGTCGCCACCGCCTCTCCTCTCTTAGACACTCCACCGCATCACCACCACCCCAATTCTCCTCGTTCCCTCAGAACAGAGAGAGCGTGTGACAATTTACTCGGGCGATCTTCGAGACCGAGAGGCTCGTCGTCGACCGCCCTGTCCTCACACTGCTCTCCCCTTTTCCCTCCCCTCTCTCTCTCTCTCTCTCTCTCTATTTCTCTTTCCTTCGAGAAAGAGAGAAAGAGAGAATCGTCCCTCCGATCGGCTCAGGCCCTACCCATACCTGCCTCCGCCGCTCCGTTGGGCCCCTACACCACCCTTTCTTCTCGTTCTTATACCTTATAGCTGCGTTATTTATGCCGGGTCCGGCTAATAAACATATGAACGCCCGTGCCTTCTCCTTGCCGTGAGATCCCGGCCGCGCACACAGCGCCGTTAGTCCGCACACGCGCGCGCGCCCAGAGCTTTCCGGCGACACACGGCCGCAGAGACGGTCCCCGAGCATTGTCTCGTCTTATTAACAGCCAGCGGGACGATATATCTCGGTTGTTCCCGCTGGAACCCCGTTTCGGTCCCCGCGCGTACGGTGCGGGGACCGTCTCGACACCTCTTCGGGATAACTCTCGCGTCATAGAGACCGCAGATGAGAGGACGCGTTACACGTCGTTGCACGCCCACGTTTGCGGTGATTTTCTGTCTCTCTTTCTCTTTTTTTTTGAGAGAGAGAAAGAGAGAATTCTCTTCATCTCTTTCGTTATTTCACCTCCAAATCCTTTTTTCTGGTTTTCAACACCTTTAAATACTTTCTTTCCCTTTTTCTTACGAATGCCGCTGCGTTTTGCGATATATGGCCTACAAATGAAAATCTCAGGCTGAAAGTTATGAGCGAGATACCGTTGATTTTGTTTGATACAAATTATTAAATTAAATTATTAGTTTATACTGTTAAAAAAATTATTAGTTTCGAAATCAGGCATCTCAGTCATGAATCTTTTCACGTAAACTCAATCCTACTGATCAATCGTATAATTTTTAGTAAGAAATCTTTAGTATGAAATCATCTAGTATGAAATCAAAGGTGAATAATTTTGCAGCACTTGAAGACAATCATGAATCTTTCCTTACAATATAAACTCGTCGTAAAAAACGAACATTTCCATATATTTTCAAGGTTGGATTTTGCACTTTCCACAAGTTCACACCAGGGGAAAAGATTTATGATTGACCCTCAGTCGTGCAGATTGAACAAGAGGTTGATGAGAGTTCACGGTGGTTTATTTGAATTACAATCTTACGGTGCGATCGGTATGTCGAAATCTTCTATGCGGACCGTTTCAACGGAAGTAATTATTCAATGTAAATTTTATCGTGTCGTTACGCTTTTCACGCAGTGAACGTTTACACACGTCAGTCTCTCCCTTTGAGGTAAATTAGATGCTCGCGAATATCACGCGCATCACCGTGAATATGACGCGATTACGCGATAATTATTTCAACGTGTGTCACCGACACGCACGAGGAAGTTCAGCGACTCTGCGCGGTCTGTCTGCGGTTTGTGAACTCGAAATCGAGGAGTCGTGCTCGCCTCTCTGCACCGCGCCAACCAGTCGCAAAGAGCGGAGTGAGGGAGCAAGAAGAGGTGGAGGAGAGTCCGCCGCGCGGTGGCAGAGGTGGCTACCGCCTCTCAGCCGAATGTCAAGAGTGCAGTTTGTAGAAGTGACGCGACCGTGATGTCAACGAATATTTATTTAATTGGCTGTTCGCCGACGAACTCGCTCGATGCTGTGTTATGCGGGAGCGATCTCGGTGGTGCGCGCGGAAGAAAATCTCCCTGCCTCTCCTCCCTCCTTCGCCGGTCTGTCCGACGTCCTCGGGAAGGACAAGGCCAACGTCGGTGGAGGAGGCGAGTGAAGGACTCGTTATTATGTACCAACACACTCTCGCTCCTGTTAACCCGCAGTTTAACGTATAAATAGATCGATGCCTTCTGCCGTCTTGCGAAACGGCAGCGGTCTCGATCGGCGAAATATCTCGACCGATCGGGGGAGAGAGGGAGGGAGAGATTCTTGGTTATTCGCATGGGAGAGAGGAAATTATCTGGTTTATAATTTACGGAAAATTGTCCTCTAGCTTGGCTTTTGGCCACGGGAGGATTCAGTCGTTATTCGACTGCGAAGAAGTCAAGGGGAAGGAAGTATAGAAAGATTAATCCCCGGCATACCATCAGGATTCATTAAACACGCAACTTCAGTTCTTGATTTTTTAGTAGTTCTAACTACTAAAAGATTGAAATTGGTTCGTTAGGCGCAAGAAATAAAAATTTTATTCGTTAATCTTCTTTTCTCAGAGGTCCTCCGAAGAACGGGGGCACAGCTTGCCTACTTTCTTCTTCAAAAATAGAACAAAACTCATTCCATCTTGCAATTAGCACATAGTATGGTACACCGAGGGTCAATCGCGCGCCCATGTGGACGCACAGTCGTTACTTAAACGCGATAAAGATCGAATCGAACGGCCGAATGGCACATAATCCGCGAGTTCGTCAAATGCGATAAATCTCCGCCGTTCTTCGCGTCTATGTGAATTCAACACTCCCGTCGCTACCTTAAGGTCGTTCTACATTAGTTGCAAGTCGATTGCAACTCTTGTTGCGATAGCCAATCAGAAACGTCAATAACACCATTGATGTTTCTAATTGACTTTCGCAATAAGAATTGCGTCTGCTTGCGATCGGCTTGCAACTAATGTAGATCGACCTTTATGCTCCGGCATACGACTATCGCGCGCACGTGTTAGTTAGTACCGACTCGTGTACTCATCGAGCTGCACGTTACGGCAACGACGAGTGTAGGGACTGTAGCGTACGATATAGATTTATGCCGCGGATAGCCGGGCATTGGTCTACCTCGTCGTTGAACGAGAGCGTAAGAGTCGGATGCAGCGGAAGATCGAAGGCGGTTAAAGGGAAGGAGCCGCGCGAGGGGGCAGGAGCGGATTTAACGGATTTCGACGGGCTTACGGAGGACAACGCGCCTCGATACCGTCGATACGATACGATATCGAGGCGACGTTGTGTACGCGTGTGGTACGTATGCGCCTCGATTATACCACAATCCATCGCGATATCCGCGAGACCCCGATAATCCTCTTCGCCCAACTTTCCCATGAAATCGCTAATTCGTCAAAATCGACGCGATAAGAACGCGTAACCCCGTGTAAACCCACGTATCAGCCGATAAATACTCAAGACCGTGCACACCGATCGATGTGCACGTACGAGACATCGTTTGTTGTGCCCGACCGCGAGCACGAGAACTGCGAGGTCCCACGCTTTTCGACATACCGGCGCGCGTTTCGCCGTACGCGAAAGGCTACCACTACCGGATGTGACTTATTAGCAAGTGGAACACACGGCAAGGTATTGCGAGGTCTACCGTGTTGAAGCCGAGTACCTGGCCACGAGTATAATTCCGATACGTGTACGTGCGCCCCTGGGAAGGAGGCACACGTTAGGGTATGCGGCGAATGCGGGGGAGAGGGACGGTAGAAAACGGCGAGAGGGGGGCAAGCAAGAGGCCGGGTGGATATCGAAGGATGGGGTAGATGGGGGGAAGGTCGATGGACGTGGACGAGGGGTAGGAGAGCGGAAGGAGCGCACTCTTCTCGGAGGAGAAGTCCGCCTCAACGAGTGGAGTGATTTGTGAAGACGCTCCCGCGGCTGTAATCACGTGGGATCTCCGGCGCTGTCTCTCCCGTGGGAGCGAGAGGACATGATGTGACGCGCAACGGGACAGAGGAGAGGCCACGGATTCTTATTGTTATTATGGGGAGTGACGTCCCACGGATCCTGGCATGTTTATGCGTCCAGATTCGCGGCGGCCTTGGACGCATCGCCGGGCGAAGCCGAATCAAAGCACCCGAGTCAGTCCTCACGAGGCACCCGTCTTCTTCTTCTTCTTCTCCTCCTTCTTCTCCCCCTGCTTCTTCTTCTTCTTCTTCTACGAGAAAGAAAGTCTCCTTGTTTTAAACTTACCCTCGGGAGATCCCCTCCGCGCCGGATACGAGCCAGACTTCGCGCGCATAAGATTCTGCCTGCCCTTGTCGTCGTACCCGTCATTCTGCGTGATTTCCACCCGTACTATTGATGAGGCATGCGAAACGCTACCCGTCAAGTTGCAGGTAAGTGTTTGAAGGCACATACTATTCATATTCTGTATTTTATCGACAATATCCGATAGTGATAACTAATTTTTTATTATCATATATTAGGCATTTTATCTCATCAATATAGAGAAACATTTGAAAGTGCTTATACCACACACGCGCACACACACATATATACATTATACTATAATTATATAACATATTTAATTTGACTTTTTAGGCTTTCGCGGCGTCCATGCATATTAGACTTTATTTCTGGCTTTGAGCCGCATGGATTCATCTTTGTTTGATTCCGACGTTTCGTGAACATTTCAGTCCGCTTCATCAGGGAGGAATAACCCGATGCCGATAATATATTCAATTCTTGTTATACATATGTAAAATATGTACCATACAAAAATAAATAAAATTTCCTATTACTCAAAACAGATATATTATTATTCCTTATTTATTCTATTACTATTCTCCATCCAATAACAGCCATATATTAAATAGTTTTGTTTTTGAACAAAAAAATTAGCACAAATTTAAAAAATCCATTTAGGCGCTAGTATACATATCAGGAAAACATGAAGACCTAAAAAGTCAGAAATATTTGGCGAAAACTGGAAACACTTCCTCGCATATCATATTCTCCTGATACAAATTCCCGAAATTGGAAAAATCTGATTTGTCGATTTTGGCATTTTGGTATCAGGAGAACATGAAGATCAAGGAGGTACCAGGAACTTTTCGCGGGAATTCGAAATACCTCCTTGCACATTCTATATTCCTGATACAAATCCTCGAAATTCGAGAAATTGGGTTTGTCAATTTTCGCATTTTGGTATCAGGAGAACATGAAGATCGAGGAGGTACCAGGAGCTTTTGGCGGGAATTCGAAATACCTCCTCGCACATTCTATATTCCTGATACAAATCCTCGAAATTGGAGAAATCTGGGTTTGTCAATTTTCGCATTTTGGTATCAGGAGAACATGATGATCAAGGAAGTATCAGGAGCTTTTGGCGGGAACACGGAATATTTCCTTAGACATCATGTTCTCCTGATATAAATCCATACAATTGGAGATTTTTAGTTTCCCGTTTTTTGTCTTTTAATATAATGAAATTGTAAGGAGCAAAGAGGTGGCACAAGTAAAAAGAAACTGAATTAAAATGTATATATTTTTATTCTTATTTATGATTCAGTACAATATAATATAATGTGAAATCATACATACGCACAGTAAAATATACATCATATACTATATACATTATACACATCATTATATACACTATATACATCATAACACTATACATCATAATATATTAATCAAAAAATAGGAAAAAGGCAATTCGAGTTCAAGCACAGGACTAATAGTGCTATATACTATATGGTAAAAAACCTTTCTTGTGTTAGGAAATCGTGTAATATTTATTGAACATGAATAATCAATATAAAACAATCATACGTTTCGGCTCAACCATGAACCCTCTTCAGTGATAATAAAAAACTCAAGGTTTACGACACGAACGCATTACAATTAGTTAAAGACCTGCGTAACTTGACATGAATGTTAATCGCAATATTAAAGCTGACAAGACCGTTACCGAAATAATATTAAGTAGTTAATTAATATTGAGAAGTAGCCGTCATAACTTTGTTGAGTTCAGCTAAAAGTAAACCGATCCTGTCAACGATAACATCGCCACGTCTCATAATATATTATTTTTTATATAAAGTATATGTATATTTTATATATAAAGTATATGTAATATGAAAAATTTATTTTGCAATATATATAAAATAATATAAATTAATTAATATTAGCGACGCTGTATTTCACTTGTAAAGAATATATACAGTGTGATGAACAGAAATTCATAAGACCACAATTGTCAATTGTCACAATATGAATATCGGCCTAATATATAAAATTTGATACAATACAATACACAACCATTCTCGCGACAATTGCAACGACTCGTCGACTCGTGGTCGCAAAAATCACCCGACGAACCCATCCGTGTTCGCCGTGCCGGTGGCTATCAGAGCCGGTCATACCGGGCACCAATAAACACAGTTCGCTGGCGACGAGCGGCGGAGCGAGACGTGAAAATAAACGGTCGTATTTGCCGTTAGGGGTGTGTTTATGATGTGCTTGTTTGCGGACGTTACATTATAAAGAAGCTGCGCGACCCGGCAGTGGCGATGACAGCGACGACGGCGATGACGACGATGACGACGACGAGGCCGATGACGACGACGGCACGAGCCCCAAGTACATTGACAAAGATAGAGAGAGAAATAGAGAAAGAGACAGAGAGAGAGAGAGAGAGAGAGAGAGAGAGAGAGAGAGAGAGAGA